CCTGACCTCAAGGGTATTTCCTCTTCCTACATCCTGCCCTTGAGGTCAGGACCCTTCTTTTTTTTTTTTTTTATCCTCACCGGAGGACATTTTTCCATATTTTGTTCAGATAGAGTGGGAGGGAGAGAGAGAGAGAAACATCGAGGTGAAAGGGACACATCGAGTAGTTGCCACCCGCACAACCCAACCAGGGCCGGGGACAAACTGCAACTGAGGTAACATGCCCTTAGCGGGAACCAAACCCAGGTCTCTCTGGACCGCAGGTTGACGCTATAACCGCTGAGCCAAACCAGCCAGGGCTGGACACTTCTTTTTTTTAAGTAAAAAAAAAAAAAAAAGATTTGAGAGAGAGAAAGAAAGAAACATTGGGTGAGAGAGACATCAATTGGTTGCCTCCCATATGTGTCCCCACCAGGGATTGAACTGGCAACCTGGGTATGTGCCCTGACCAGGAATCAAACAGCACTCCAACCAACTGAGCCACACCGGCCAGGGCAGAAACCTTCTCACTTAGATTCATTTGGTCTATTCCTAGTGTCTGTGGTTCATTTACTTCAGAGTGTAGAGATTTTGGGGAAACCAGAATTAAGTAGAAAAGTCTCCTGCCTAATCTCCTTCAGTTTCACTCATTCTAGCTGCAGTTCTTAGGTTAGTTTCTTTACTGGATTTTATTTCTGCTTCTTAGGGCCAAGTTGAAATAATTCTTTAAAGCTTTTTATGTAAGGTTGGGCAATACTTCTCTAGACACCCTCTTCCCCTTTCCAAGCTCTCACCTTCAGCAACAGAAATGTCTCATAACTAATCAGTCTCCTTTTCCTATTTTTCAGATTTTTTTAAAAATCCTCTCCTCGGGATATTTTTCCATTGATTTTCAGATAGAGTGGGAGGGAAGGAGAGAGGGGGAGGAGAGAAGAGAGAGAGAGGGAGGGGGAGAGAGGGAGAAAGGGAGAGAGGGAGAGAGAGGTCACCAGGGTCAGGGATCACCAGGGATTGCACCACAACCGAGGCACATGCCCTTGACTGGGGATTGAACCCACAACTCTTTGGTCCACAGGCTGACACTAACCGCTGAGCCAAACCAGCCAGGACCTATTTTTCAGTTTTAAGGTAGTAATGCATCATTTCAGCCAGCCTTGGTGTTTGGCTCAAATGTGTTATTCAGTTTGGACCTCAGCCTTGACCTTTGGAAGGCTGAATGGCCAAATGCCTATTTCAACATTATTCCTGGCATCCCTAAATTTGGCTGTGATCAAGATCATGTGAAGAAATTGGTGACTGTCAAACCTAATCAGTTTAAGCATTGATAAGGAGAACAAGGCAGGTCATTTCAATTTGTGACTAATATCTGAACAGTCCCTTTCAAATAGTGAGGGACATTCTAGATAAAACTTGGAGTAATATTTTTCTTAAGAACTTTTAAAAATCTTGAAATTCTATCACTCAGTAGAAGCCTAAATGCATATTAAGAAAACTGCTGTAATAAATTAATGGTTATGGAAGCTTATATTATACACATAATAATAATAATAATAATAATAATAATAATAATAAAAATCCTCACAGGAGCATACTTTTTCCATTGATTTTTTTCTTTTTTTTGGTACATGCTCCTAGCGGGAACTGAACCCAGGACTCTATGGTTTGCAGGCTGACGCTCCAGCCGCTGAGCCAAACCAGCCAGGGCTCCATTGATTTTTTTTCCGGATAGAGTGGGAGGGAGGAAGAGAGAGAAACATCCACATGAGAGAGATATATCTACTGGTTGCCTCCCGCACAACTCTGACCGGTGGTGCTGGGATGGAACCTGCAAGCCAGGTACATACCCTTGGGTGGGAATCCAACCCACAACTCTGGTCCATGGATCGACACTCTAACTTCTGAGCCAAATCAGCCAGGGCAATACAAAATAATTTTTGAGAATTTTCACATAAACATTTAGGAAAATTAGTTGACAATATAAATATTGGAGAGAGTGTATAACTTCAAGAAGAACCTTATATGCTTTTTGAGACAAAAGTATTTATAACAATTTAGTAACTAGTACAAGTACTATTTCATTTAACAACTAGTACAAGGCAGAACAATAAAAATTAGATTATATCAATTCTGTCTATAATTTCATTATATCACAATCTTTGTAGAATTGATTGTTATATTAGCATTTATCATATTAAATAAAGTCATCCTTAAGAACTATACATTTTAGGAGGAATTTTTTATTGAGGTATAATTTACATACAGTGAATACACAGATATTAAGTGTACAGCTCCATGAGTTTTCACAAAGTAAACATATCCAAACCAAGAAAGAACATGTCCAACTTATCTCTTACTCCTGCCCAGTTAGTACTCCCTAAGGTGATTTTTACCTCTGTTGCCACAGATTACTTTTTTTTGTTGTTGTTAATTCTCACCTAAGGAAACTTTTTTCATTGATTTTTAGGAAGAGTGGGGGGGGGGGGGAGAGAGAAATATTGATGTGAGAGACACATCAGTTGGTTGCTTCCCACACATGCCCAGACCGGGGTCAGAAATCAAACCTACAGTCCAGGTACATGCTCTTGACTGGGAATTGAACCCTGGGACCCTTGGTGCGCAGGCCAATGCTCTAACTACTGAGCCACACAAGCCAGGGCAGATTACTTTTTAATTACGTTTAATTTTTAGTTATTTAATACTGTTTGGAGTCTTTCAAGAAAAAGTCCTACTTCAAAATTCTTCTCATTTTGAGAGGATGCATTAAAGGTATAATTTTAACGAATTAAAAAATGTATGAGGATGATGTCTTCAAAATCATAATATCCACAAGGAAAATCATCAATAAAAAATACATGAAGAGTTGTGAAAAAAAAAAAAGGTGAAGAGAAAAAAATCAGCTGTCCCTAAGTATCTTGTACCTCAGTTGAAAATCTATTTAGAATGATATAATATAGTGACCAAAGGATATATAGATTTTACACTCAGCCATTTGGCCACAATGTGTATTTCATGTACCTCTTCTTTCAACTCTACGTGATGTATTTAGTGTATCTCTACTTTCAAGATGTAACTTATAGGTCCACTCTGCTTGAATTGTTCGATGTTCTTTTCTCCTTTCTCTTGATCATCCCTTTCCTACCTTCTCTCCTGATTGTCTCAAACCACCCAGCCCACCTAACAGGTCTCTGCCTGCTGACGCATCCTCCAGCCAATGAACATTGTACCAGCAGAAGAGAGCTCTCAAGGAGAACTGAGTGCAGTATTTGTCTTGGTCTGCGTATTTGCCAAAGGTGGATATGAGTGGACAGGGATATTTCTATTAGTATTACCATGGCTACTTCTAGTTACCATCATTGAATGCTTACCAGTGCCTGAGGCTGACTAAGGCTTCATAAATGCCATTTCTAAATCTCCCTGCAATCCTGTTGGGTAGATGGTATTGCTCCCATTTTTCTATGTGGAAACACAGCTGCAGAGAGTTACAGCAGTTGGCTCCAGGTCACATATCCATGAACAGCTGAACCAAGGTTTACACCCAGTTCCATCTGGCTCCAAAGCTTCCTCTGACTCTGGTAAGAAGGCAAGGAGCACTAGAACTGTTAGAAGGATAGGCAGAGAATAGACTCCCAGCTGGGGAGGGAAGGTCTAACAACTTAGCTAAAGGAGGGCTAAAGGTGCTAAAGGAGGGCAGGCAGGGTGGGCAGGGGCATGGTGCCATTGGTCTGGGATTGAGATAAAGGGAGAGAGAAGAGACTGGTAATGGCCAGAGCTGCAGGCAGTGCAGGAGAGGCTATCAAGACCAGGCAACACAAAGCCCTCGCTTCTCCAGCTCTGCTCACTAGGGAGGGAGAAACGGTGTCTGCGGCCCAGGGGGATAGGGAGGTGGCATTTCCACATCTCCACCTCAATGGCCTGGGCTGACTGCCAGAGGGGAGAGTCGGAGAAGCACTGAGGCAGGAGAGATGATTATCAGGAGGAAGGAAGCTCTGGCAGCTTCCACCAGCCTGTTTGTGACAAGCAGGCTCTGTTGCTGGAAGTCCCTTGAGGTCAAGGGAAATGTGACCTGGAGGAGGGGGGTGAAGCTGGGATACTCCCCTTACCCTATGCCTTCAGGCTGAGGAGCTTTAGCCAGAGAGAGGCCCAGGGTCCAGGCTGGAAAGCAGTGGGCTGGAGAAGGGGGAGGACAGTTACAGAGGCAGAGAGACAAAGAATGAATTAAGATCCCTGGAGCATCTCATAAATAGTCTCTTGGCTAGAGAGGTAATGACCTTTAGTGCAGTCAACAGAGTAACTGGCTCTTCAGAGCTCTCAGGGTGCATTTCTCCATGGGTGAACTCTTACCTACTTCTCTTGTCCCTGCAGAGGTCTCTCCTTTTTCCTCCGATGGTAAAGTGTACTGTCCGTAGAGGGAGGAGACTTGGGTTCAAGTCCAGGTGCTGTTACTAACCAATTTCACAAGCGCTTTAATAATCAAGCTTTCTGAAATCTCAATGTCCTCCTGCCTAAAGAAGGCAAGTCATCAAGTCTGTGTCACAAGGGACTCACGTGGCTACACCACGAAAACTATGAAATGCTATGAAGTGGTGCTTTGCCTGTACAGATGCCACCTCAGCACCACATCAGAGCTGGGGACGGTTTCTGCTAGGAACAGAAACAGCTCTGTCCAGGAATCCACCCCCCCCCCCTTACATCTACTCCCCCCTCTTGTCGTGCTGCCACGGTGATGGGGCAGGGGAAAGATATTCAGGCACAGACCAGGGAACCCCCACCCCGAGCTCACTCAGCTCTTCTCCTGGAAAGAAGTTTCTGGGAAAACCATGACAAAAAGATAAAAGGCCATCTCTTCCGGAGCTTAGCCATCAAGGTATAGGCCTCAGCGGCCGCTCAGCCTCTCTGAACAGGCTGAGCTAGGAAAGGCCCCAAGAAATGAAGGGAGGGGAACCTCCTGGGCATAGGAAGAGCAGCGCAGAAGCCTGGAGAGGAAATGAAAGCCCAGCCCAAGAGAGAGAAAGGCTGGAAACCTAAACAACGCCGTCCAAGTGCACAGGGACCAGGTGGAATTTTCCAGAGTCCCCTTTCTGGGGAGGGTCACAGGCAATGATGTAAGAAGCGTGCAGTTTTGTCTCTTTGTACCTGCAGGCTGGGTACTTCCCCGAGATGAGATCACACTGGGTCAGGGACACAGGCTCTTTGCTCTGGTGGCAGTTTTTATGGCCGTTCTTGCAGGCTGTGACGGAGGTCTGGCAGGTGGCGGCCACACTAGAGAAGGATTCATGCAGGAAGGTGTTGAGGCCTTTGCAGTGTTTTGTGTGCTTGTTGATGTTGTCCATTGCCCCTTTGCATCCCTGGGGGCTGGGCTGCACATGCTGAATTTCAAACCACTGAGCTGAGGTCATGTGTTTGGGCTTGGCGCTGACTGGGACCTGGGCCACCCACAGCCCCAGCAGCAGGAGCAGCAGCAGAGAGCAGCATCCTGCTCTGGCTGGGACCATCTCTCTTGGGGGGTTAGAGTCAGAACGGAGGGCTAGGGTCGCTGAGGACAAAGAGTAGGTGGCGTTTAGTTGGGATATGAGCCTCCCTATCCTTGCTCCTAGCTAATCTCCATTACCCTTTGCTTTCTCACCCTGGGTCTGGGTCTCATCCCTTCCTTGTGACCTCAGTCCCTAACCCTATCCCCCGTCTTGCCCTGTAGTCTGTCTTCTTTCTGCCCCCTTTCCCTCCCACTCTGTTCTAACTTCTCTCACTCAAGTCCCATCCTGTTTGTGTCCCTACGTCCCCACCCCTTTCTCTGGGTCTCATCCCCTCCATGACCCCATCCCCATCTCCTCTGTATCCCCATTTTGTGCTTCCACCCCCAGATGCTTTTTCTTTCTCCTACATATGTCCCCATTTCCTCCACAATGAGTCCCTCCTTTGTCTATCTTGTTGCTCACTCGAGTGTGCTCCCATCTTGTCAGAACCCATCTCTTCTCTATCCAGTCTCCTCACCTCTTCACTGGGTCCTTGCGCTGTGGCTTCCGCTCCTGCTCAGGGACTGAGGATGCACCTCCCACTGCCGGGCCTCAGCTCTCTGAGGGCCTCTTCTCAGGGCCTCTTTCAAAGCTGGCCTGGGCTGTGCTGTGTCAGTTTTGGTGTGGGCTGGGGAGCATTCCTGCCTCAGGAAATGAATCAGGTGCTTGCCTCTCTGCTTCCATGTCTGAAATAAGCTGATACCTATGGAGCTAGTGTACCTGCCTAAACCTGTTTGGCAATGAGGAAGCTTGAATCTTCACGCTCAAAGGCTAGATTTGGCCTCTGGCCTCGGGCTTTTAATGACTACTAAAGCACCTGATCCAGGTGTCAACCCGAAATGAATTTCATGGAGAGCTGTCATTTATCTCTTCCTATCTACGCCTCATTCATGATTCTGGGAGCAACCAATCACTGTGGGAATAGAATTGCTTCTTCTGTGACCTGGTTTGAATGGTCTCCTGTCACCAGCATGTGCCACTTATCTTTCAGAGGAGACAGAGAAGACAGGGAAGTGGATGAATGATCAGACCCGATGCCCAGCATCATCCCAACTCCGCCACTGCACGGTGACTCATTACTCTGGCTCTCTGACTTCCAGGTGCTGAGCAGTGCCACCCAGCTCTACCTGAAGAAGGCACCCGACACCTCTTACCCTTCACTCTTCCTTTCCCTACTTTATTAAAATTTGCGAAGCTTAAACACTGTCCAAATTTGAAAATGCTGTTGGTGGTGTTGCCTTAGGCCTTCCTTCCCCTTTATGTCCAGTTCCTTGTGGAAGTGACATCTGTGTGGTAAACTTGGGTCAGTGCTGCTCTGGGGACTCTGGTGAGCTTGGCACGCGGCCCTCGGAAGAACTGGACCCTGGGCGGAGAAGCATCCCTCTATGTGACTGGGGGGGCCTGGGAAACTGAGGTGAACGGAATTTTTGTTTTCAGGTTTCACCTGTAAGTAGCAGGTTATCTCAGGGTGGGGGTTCAGTTTATTCATGTAGTCAGCAGATTTTTATTGTTATGTATTTATTTATGTTTTATCCTCACCCGAGGACGTTTTTTTTTTTTGTTTTTTTTTTTTGCATTTATTTTCAGTTAGAGCAGGAGGGAGAGAGGGAGGAAGAGAGAGAGAAACATCGAGGTGAGAGAGACACATCGATTGGCTGCCACCCACACGACCCCAACCAGGGCCGGGGACAAAGTGCAACCGAGGTTCATGCCCTTAGCGGGAACCGAACTGGGGTCTCTCTGGTTTGTGGGCTGACGTTCTAACCGCTGAGCCAAACTGGCCAGGGCAGTCAACAGATTTTTATTGAGCCCCTGCTATGTGCCAAGGTGGTTGGAATATAACAGTGAACAAAAGAGACAAAAATCCCTACCTTTGTGGAGCTTACATTATACTGGGGGAAAGACAGTAAAAGTATATATACTTGCTTAAAGTGATAATTGCTAGAAAAAAAGTAGAACAGGATAGAAGTTGGTAGGCAGTGATTTTTTTAAAAAAATGTTTTTATTGATTTTTTAGAGAGAGGAAGGGAGAGATAGAAACATCCATCAGCTGCCTCCTGCACCCCCCCTTCCCCACTGGGGATCAACCCAAAACCCTGGCATGTGCCCTGACTGGGAATCAAACCAGAACCTCTCAGTCCATGAGACTGACATTCAATCCACTGAGTCAGGCAGTAGGCCAGGCAGTAGCAGTGATTTTTATTTTTATTTATTTATTTTTTAGTCCTCACCGAGGATGTATTTTTTTTTCTATTTATCTTCAGATAGAGTGGGAAGGAGAGAGAAGGAGAGAAAGGGAGAGAGGAGAACATCGACGTGAGAGGGACACATCGACTGGTTGCCTCCCCCACACCCCCAACTAGGGCCGGGGACAAACCGCAACCGAAGTACGTGCCCTTGCCCGGAATCCAACCCGAGACTTATTGGTCCGCAGGCGATGCAGGCAGACGCTCTACCGCTGAGCCAAACTGGCCAGGGCTAGGCAGTGATTTTTAAATAAGGTCATTGAAGTAGGTGATTCCTGGACACGAACTGGAAGGTGAGAGGGTGAGCTTGTGCTTGCCTGGGGAAATGCTCCAGGTGGGGAGAAGAGCACTGCAAAGGCCCTAAAGCAGACAGACGGACATGCCTGGGGTGCTAGAGGAACGGCCAGGATCCAGAGTGGCTGGAGCAGGTGAATGATGGGGTCAGGGAGGGACCAGAGGCCAGATCACGGCAAGCCTTAGAGACCTAGGACAGGACCTGCTCTGTGTGTGGCGAGGAGCCCTGGGAGGGTTCTAAGCAGAGGAACAAAAAGGCCTCTATGCTTAAAGATCCCCTGGCTGTTGTGTGGACTGTCACCACAGAGAGGTTTGTGTTCTGGTCCAGAAGTTAGGATCTCAAGTCAGGATTTGGGTGTTTGTTTTGAGGCCAGGGGGACATCGTTTTAGTAGATGGAGAGCACAGCTGTGGGTCCGGATGAAGGATCTTGGGTGTTAGAGATGGGAAACACCACTAGATGGCACCAGAGAACCAGGAGCCAGTTCATGCAGGCCTCTGGCTACTCCGGTTCGCCCTCACTGAGGCCCTGGCTCAGGGTATAGCCTTCATTGCTTCGTTAAGGTGCCTGAATCTCTGTAGTTCGAACTTCTGGATAGAGAATTATGCCTCTGCCGCTGTAGAAATGCAAATGTGTGGAGATAAAATCCCTGGTTTAAAGCAGACTGTGGATAGCATGCCGATCAGCACAAGCCAGTCCAGCCCTGGACTGGAGGCTGGAGTTGCAGGAGCTGGTGGGAGGCCAAGAGCTCATTTGAATTCCTCACCCAGACTCCTTCTCACTTCTCATTATTCTAGAGTGCGATGTTTCCAAACCACGATGTGCACTACCCTCTGCTCTTGTGATTTTCTGTCATTATAATTATCCTAGTTTGCTCTTCAACTCTGTTATGTGGGTTCTCCAGAAGGATACTTTAGTGCTACACGAAGGTGAACTAAACATAGCCCTACTGTCTCAGGTCAAAGGGAAGAGAAGGTAAAGGTTTAGGTTTGAAGCTACCATCTGCACGGTTCAAGCTGAAACTCTTACTTTGCCTCAATTATTTGGATAAGGCAGGTGATTTTATTTATTTGCCTAAGCTACCCAGCTTCTGAGAGCTGCTTCACTTTGCACTTGGTAAGTTTATTTTGCCATTTATTTTGCCCTTCACTGCATAGATGGGGCAAGAGGAAAAGCTGGAGGAAGGGGGAGACAAGGTTAGGGAGAATAAAAGGAGTCAGGCACCAGGCCAAGGGCTGGTCAGGGGGGTTGGCAGAAGGGGAGAAGAGAAAATTTGGAGAAGAGAGAGCAGAAGACAAAATGGTGGGAGAGAAGATGGGAGGGAAAAGTCCCTCGCACAAGCAGTCTATCCAAGGATATGAGGTAGCTAGTTACCCCTGCCTCCTTCTCATTTGATCACCACAGTCATTGTTCTTGGCTCAACTTCTCCTCAGGCCACTGGTGTGTGTGTGTGTGTGTGTGTGTGTGTGTGAAGTCATTGGGGCGGGTGTTGTAAAAACCCCAGCCGTGCCAGGTGGACCTCTGCCTGTCTTCCCCACAGGACAACAGCTGCAGCTTCCTCTAGCCTGTGCTAAGGAGTGGGGGCGGCTGGGAGAGAGGAGGGCTGGGCCTGGATAGGTGCCCGCCCTTCAGAGCCCAGCCTGTCTCTCTTCCGGAGTTCCACACAGCCTCTGGATACCGATGAAAAGCCCATGAGCGTGTCCCTCCAAGCAGCAGCAGATCTGCGTTCTGAGTTCTGTTATCCTAATTTGGTTGCTCCTAGGGTAAATAAAGGTGCTGGGCTCATTTGGGTAGACAGGGAAAGTGAAACAAACAGCCATTTGGGGTCAGATGTAGAGCTTGTTTTGGGTCTTTGAATTCTCATGACCTTTCCTGGAACAGCTGTGGGTCTGGAGGAGGCAGTACTGACAGAAGGTTGGAATCCTTGGCTCCCAGACCAACGTGGTTAGTCAAGCTAGGATGTAAGAGAGGGAAACCTGACCTGGGCTTGAGACCTCCCTTGTGAGAGGCCATTGTCAGCTCCCCATTTATCTACAGAATAACATATACACTCCTTAGCCTCATTTGGAAAGTCTGCCACAATTTGGCAAACTTGTCTTTCTAATTCTGTCTCTGACTTTTCTTCCACTGAGTGCCTCAACCCTAGCCAGGCTGGTTTTCTCTTTTTAAAAATATACCTTTCTTAATTCTCTTTATCTCCGCTTAATTTTTTTTTTTTAAATTTTTTCCCCTTATTTATTGATTTTAGAGAGAAAGGGAGAGGGAGAGAGAGACAGAAACATCTATGAGAGAGAACATCGATCGGCCACCTCCTACATGCCCACCACTGGGGATTTGGCCCACAACCTGGGCATGTGCCCTGACCGGGAATTGAACTGGTGACCTCTTGGTGCATGGGTCAATACTCAACCACTGAGCCACACCAACTGGGCTCTGCTTAACTCTTTACTGGTCCTTGAGACCCACCCTGATGTTCCAGGATGACCCAAAAGTTGCTCTGATTCTCCCAATTTAGAGGGACCTTTCTCACCCCTAAATTCCTACATTTACTGTCTTTAAGATGGATAATTTCTGCCTTGAATCACTGGTTATTTCTTTACATGGATTTATAATTTTCCTCCAATTTAGACTGTCAGTTCCCAGAAGATAAGGACCATCTGTTACATTTTTTTTTTTAGTTGCTTTTAGAGAGAGAAAAAGAGATAAAGATCAGTTGGTTATCTCCTGCATGTGCTTCGACCAGGGATTGAACCAGCAACCTGGGCTTGTGCCCTGATGGGGAATTGGAGCCACCACTTTTTGGTGTACAGGATGACACTCCAACCAACTGAGCCACCCAGCCAGGGCTGTTACACGTTTTTTGAACCTCCCACAGGATACAGTATAATGCCTTGCAGATAAGTGGCCCTAATCAATTCAGCTCCTGGGTTAGAAGGCATACACTCTGCCCTTGAGGGTCCCAGATGGGATCATGACCAATCATAGTGTTGGTTAGCAGACTGAGGAACTGACAATGTCGCTCCTAGACATCATCCCTGAGGCTGAGGTGAAGCTATGACAAGTTGAGATGGCTGGAGTAAGCCTTTTGGTTTAAGGACAATCCAGGGACTGTCCATGACAGAGTATGCTGTTTGAGTAATTTGAGTTGAACAGGGCAACTGAGATTGAGGTGAGCTCACTCTGGGAAAAGACTTGGGTTTTCCTCTCAATCACAGGAAATCACTTCTGCACCTGCCACTCTAGCCCGTTGTTCTAGAAATGCTTACCCTTGGGGAGGGGCGGAGGGACAGAATGTGTTGATGACTACATGCATAGGGTCACCTTTACAAGAAAAATAACTCAAAATTGTTTCAACTATCAAATACTACTTTTGCTGGTAGAAAAACCCATTATCATTTTAAGCAAAATCTAACATATATTTCTAAGTCCTGGATATTTACGAACCCCTTTTAATGTATAAGGTATAAGTAAGTCAGTGTAACACTTGTTAGGAAATCTGATTCCCTCTTTGGACCAGGTTTCTCAATCTCAGCACTATTTACATTTTAGTTTGGTTGATTCTCTGTTGTGGGAGCTGTCTTGTGCAATATTGGGTGATTAGCAGCATCCCTGGCACCCACTAGATGCCAATAACACCTCTCAGTTGTGACAACCAACAATGTCTCCAGACATGACCCAATTGTCCCCTATGGAGAACCACTAAGTTAGACTTATGACCATGAACCAGCTGCCGTCCCTCTCTATAACTTAGTTTCTTCATTTCTAGGATACTTCTTGTGTATGTGAAGTCCAGTGTAATGGAGTAACAATTCCACAAATCTCAGGCTTAGGGAGTAGATGAAACCGTGACAAGAATGTCAGAATGGAAGAAACAATCCTATGGATCAATACCTCAGGATAGGATTTTAAAGACCGGATCACTAGGATGGCAGTTTGAAAGCCAAAGGCCCATCACACACATCGGCACTTTTTCTGGCTCTGTGGCTCATGCCTTTGTTAAGACATGCTCATATATGTGTCTTTCCTATTGAATTGTACATTTAATCTGGACTGGAACTATCATATTTACCTTTATATTTCCCCTCAACTTTGTCATAGTGCTTTTCAAATGGTATATAACAATTATTTAAAAAACATATTAAGCAACATGGAGTATGGCTAAGAACAGAAAACATGGTGACGATGAATTTTAAGTCAGATGTTAGATGGCGCTTTAGCTCAGCAGAGCAGGGATGGGGGCAGGTCATTTGGCTCATTTGGAGAACGAAAGAGGTTTGCAGATGTTCAGTGAATTGGGGGACAATGTGTGTTGGTATGGAACCTAGGAGGCCATCCCCAGTTATCCAGTTAAATATTGGTTAATGATTAAAAAGCACTTTCATGCTGACCATTTAATTCTATTCTTATAGCCTCTTGAGGTAAGGAAGGTATTTATCTCATGTTATAGAGAGGAAACAGAAACTCAGTAGGTTATCCAATAGCAAGTCCTGAACTCTTTCCTCTACAATGTGCTGTTCCGTTTCTGTAACTGTGTGTGCAGAGGTGAGTAGTGGTGGGTGGGTAGTGAATGAAGGAAGAGGCAGACCGGGAGACATGGAATGCCCCTTCCTCTTTTAGGGAAGTCGCGGCCTTGAACAGACAGGGAAGAGGTGGCATGCTTTGAGGTGGGGACCACACAGTATGGGAAGCTCCCTCAAAATGAAGGTTTGAGTCAGCGGGGCCCTAGTACCTCCATCCTTGGGCTCCCACTCAGCATTGGCTTGTAGGGCAGCCTAAATGACACAGATGAGCCAGTGGTCTGTGTGGGCTTTCCCCTCACTTGCTTGGCTGTGGACACTTCCCTGGAGAGGTCTTCCAGGTAGAGGCTTCTTATACAGGATCTTTGGGCTGAGTCTTCCTATGGGCTACCTCAGTGGAATTGATAGGGGCAAGAGCGGGAGGAGGAGATGACCTGAGCAAGTACATGGAGGTGTAGGGCACAGTGGGGGAAGCAGACAGACATGGAGATATAGTTGGATACATGGCAAGGGCCAGGTCATGGAAAGTCTTATGTCCTATGAGGGGTAGAGCCTCACTGGAGTTGGAGTGTGTGTGGTGTCCAGAAAGGAGAGACTGAGCAGGGGAAGAAATAGGAATTGAAGGGATCGGTTTAGGAAAAGTTTAGGTACACTTTCCAGAGCTGTGTGACTGATGGATTCATGCTCATTTTGAATACTCAACATATGCAAGGCACTGGGCTAAAAGCTCTTGATGTAACACTTTAATGAATGAATCCTAATACTGCCACAAGGTATAAAATATTATCCTCATTAACAAATGAGGAAACTGAAGTTTACCTAGATTGACGCTGTACAGCCTATAAACAGCAGTGTAGGATTCAATTCTAGTCTGTTTTCCTCAAAAGCCTTGTTTTTAAGCACCATGTAGATACCACCTCCCCACAGGTGGGGTTAGGAGAAAGAAGAAGTCTAAGATCACTCTCAGATGCCTGGGATAGGTAGGTAACTGAAGAAGCCGAGACAGACAACATGGGAGGAGAAGCAGACTGTGGAAAGGATGTGCAGTTTTGGACTCTAGCTGTTGCTATCAGAAAGAGCAGGTTAGGGGGCTATGGATGAGGAACTGGTACTAGTACACCTCTCTGCACCCTCTCTCTCTCTTTTTTTTTTATCCTCACCCGAGGACATTTTTCCAGTTTTTGTTCAGATAGAGCGGGAGGGAGAGAGAGGAAGAGGGAGAGAGAGAAACATCAATGTGAAGGGACACATCGAGTGGCTGCCACCCGCACAACCAACCAGGGCCGGGGACAAACTGCAACCGAGGTATGTGCCCTTAGCGGGAACCGAACCCGGGTCTCTCTGTACCGCAGGCCGACGCTCCAACCGCTGAGCCAAACCAGCCAGGGCCGCACCCTCTCTTGAACTACCCATGGGCCTTGGAGCACTCAGCATTCTGCACTCTGACTCCCTGCTCCCACTCTCCAGGGAGACTGTGGTAGGCTTTCCTGAGAGGAAGCCCACAACCTGGATCATATCCTGCAGGGAGACCAGGCTGAGGGGGGCTGTGGAAGTCAAGAACTGTGGCTGGCAGGCTCTTTGCTTTTGATGAAGGGGCAAATGTCAATGAAAACGAGAGTTAGGAGCCCAGCCCTTTCCCAACATGATAAACAATAACAAGAATCTGATCCGCTGGGCTCACATGGCCAACACCTCCTCAGTCCAAGTTATGCTGTCTAATCTGATGGACAAGTTTGAGGCTTCAGGGTCAGCAAGTAGAAATTTTCAGGTGTTCCCTGACCCCAAAAGGGCCTGAGGTTGTAGGTGGGGGAGGTGGATTGTGTTATTGCTATTGCTGTGAAAATGATGATAGGAACTGTGGGGGCGTCCATAAAGATGTCTTTGATTATCAGTGCATCATCACTCTGGTGGCCTCCCACGTGCGTAAGCTCCTGTGCGTGGGATGAGAGAGAGGCAGACACTCTGTTCTCTAATGGTCGGGAATAAGCAGCACTTTGTTCCTCAGACACATGACACCTTCTTGCAGTAGCAGGGTCTATGGACATCAAAGAAAGCCCAATAACTTAGGGACTTCTGGCAAGGAGGTTGGAACTAAGTTCTTATGACACCAGGTAGGAGGAAACCATATTGTAATGTCTCTTCTCATCCATCCAACCCCCTAAGCACAGGAGCTCCTCAAACTCAGGGGACATTCCCTCCTCCCAGACTGGTATTTATCCAGGAACCTTTCCAGCCTCTTCTCACCTTTGGGCTGTCCTTGGACTCAAAGGTAAGAAGAATCCCTGCCTGCTGCCCTGCTCATCATCCAGCTCTGTCCTTCCTCCACAGCAATCAGAGAATTGTAGCTCAGCTTGCTCCTTCTATTGTATCTTCATTTTTACCAGAAGGGGCCAGGGATAATCAAGAAGAATTGCTCATCCAAGGACCAGTTGGACCTCTTATTCTGTTAAGTGTTACAGCTGGTGACTGAGTGAGGCTGAGACCAAGGTAAGGGGGGAATGGCTGAAGGTGGTTGACCAGTTGGGTGACCTTGAGTAAGTGTCTCCTCTCTCTGGGGCATGAGGTCTAGGGCTGGGTGATCTCTGAGGTACAGTCTAGCTCTTCAGGTGTAGGGTAAGGCACACAGGGAAGGCTGGGGGAATGCTGGAGGCTCAGGGAAGGGGCAGACAGCCACCTAGGCCCACCTCTGCCTCTAACCACTTTAACTCTACCAGCAGGAAGAATGACACCTGCTGTGGCCTGGCTCCTGTTCCTCCAGATTGTTCTAGGACAAACTATATTTATGGACTCTAGACTGAAGGCTGCCATCAAGAACTTTCGCAACTTACACATGGACTATCCCAAGCTTAGTTACCCACAGGATTTCCAGGGCTACTGTAATGGTCTGATGGCCTATGTACGGGGCAGGCAGGAAAGCTGGCATTGCCCAGTGAAGCATTACGTAATACATGCCCCCTGGACAACCATTCGCAAGTCCTGCAGTCACTGTGAGAACTTCTGTGAGAATTATAATGAATACTGTACAGTCACCCAGGAGGCCTTCCCCCTTACAATCTGCTCTCTGTTCCCCAAACAGCCACCCACCAGCTGCCTCTACAATGATACCCTAATCAACCGAAGGCTCTACCTTCTCTGTTCCCAAAAGTACGATGCTATACCGATAAGTATCATTGGCATCTACTAGAAAAGGGAGCTTTCATTGTGAACCACCCCCTACTACCACTACAGACCAGATTGTCTCCATTTCCAAAAAACTCTGATTCCTGGTACAAGGCTTCCCCACTGCCTTTGAAGGTAGGCAAGGTTCCCTCCCAAGAGACCAGAAAGGTAGGAAAATTGTTCAGAGTTTAGTCTTCCAAGCTCTTTCCAACTTGTTTACCTTTCCCCTCCCCCATAATCCTCCCTCTCCCACAGACAGTTTTACCCACCCAAGAAGCTGACTGTGTCCAGTTGGCAGTGATTATCCATCCACTGGGCCAGATACTGAGTCCTGGATGTAGGCCCAGAGCCTCAGCCCACACCATGGCAACAAGCACCCAGCTCAATGTTTCGACTCCCCATCCCCACCACCCTTCTCTTTTCAGTCTTCCCCATTTCCCTATGACTCCCTCCACTCACTCACCCACATGATGGGTATTCTCTAGCTAGAAGGACCTCCCTGAGACCTTTAGGTTCATTTTAGCCTCACTTCCCCGGAACCCTCCAGTTCCCTGTCTGCTCCTCTCTATGAAATCATTTTCTTTACCTAACCTATTCTTTCCTCCCTCCTCCTACCATGGAGCCCAGTGTGTCTCCACCACACTCCCAGCTTCCTTTAGTCACACTTCTCCAACCTCTTTTCCACAATTCTCACTTTGGCTTACTGGGGTTTCAAGTTATTTTCTCTGATCTATCCCCCCAAATATTCCTGCGTCCTGCTCCTTCCCAAAGCTCCTCCTGACATTCTCTAGACTCTAGGATCTGCTGCTGACAAGATGGGTGAGGTGGGCCTAGCTGTAGTCACAGAAGGTTTGAAAACCATGTCTGAGTTGTGTAAGATATAACCATTGGATGAAGCTGGCGAAGGGAGCCTGGAACCTCTCTGTACTATTTTTGTATCTTCCTGAGAATCTATAATCATTTAAAAATAAAAAGATAAAAACCACATGTGACTCAGTTCTGATTTCATTCTTTTTATTTAGTGCACCAGAACCCCCAGTCTTGAAGCCCTGGAGACCACCCACCTCTGGCCATCTTCCTGGGCTGTCCTTAGCTGTCAGTGGGGCCTTCTGTTCCTGAGAACCATGATGGAGGTGTGGTGGGGGTGAAACTCACTTTTGCCCGAGTATTGAAAATGGATTCTCCCTTTCCCCAGCTCAAGAACAAACTCATTATAGAAGTCAGGCTAAGTAGATCCTTGGCCCACCCTAGGTGCCTTCTATTTTTCCCCACAACAAAACTTGGATTGCAACAGATGAGGACGATGAAGGGACAGGGGTCTGGTTGGTGGTATCTGGGTCATCCTATGTCAAATCAGGAAGTTCTACTCCCCTTTCACAGGTAGAGGAGGGGTGAATGCCAGTGGTGTGTGAATGCAAGTAGCAAGTACTTTTGCCTCCACATCTGGCTCATCTCTTATCTGCAAATATATTTCTCAGCCCTGATCTTAAGAGCAGTTAGTAAGGAGAATGCTGACTTCTGGCTCAGAGGCACTGGGCTAAGTAGGGCAAGAGATGGAGAGCTGGAAACCCTGACTCCTTGGGGATCCTCCCCTCTCCTCCGCCCTTCCCCCTCCCTTCCCTTTTCTCTCCCAAAGGGCCCATCCTTCCCTTTCCCTGATTGAAGACAGAGCTCCTTAGTGGTTGCACACACACATGTTTATTGTTCCCTGGCTCCCTGGTGTTAAAGATGCAGGGTCGAGGGCTGGCAAGCAAAGAGGAGGTTACTCCCTAGTTTTTGTCCTTCTTATCATAGGTGCCAGAACCCTTGTAGCCACTCACATAGCCTGAGTTGTCGGTCACCTCTTCCCGTCCTGCGATGCCTTTGCCTTTGCCACTCTCGTCAAAGCGTTCCTTGTGGGTGCCAGTGTACTGGCTGGTGTCCGTCAGCCGGCTCACCCCACCCACAGTTGTTGCTTTCTGCAAGCCAGAGAATGATGGGTCTGAGTCCTCTCCTTTTCCCTCCACAGTTATACCCCTTCTCTTAAGATGGTCTTTGATTCCCCTAGGGCTCAGAGCTCTTGTTCTACCCACGGCATGGTGCTGCTTTCTCAGGACCCAGATGTGGCTGTGGGCAGGAACTGTGGCAAGAACCATCCACTGGTGAGGGAGGAGGAGTCTGGTATATGGGAGTGAGTGGATCGAGTGTGGATTTTTCTGCTTCCAAAGGAGTTTTTTAATTATTATTTTTTTGTCAACTGAGGATATGTTTTTATTTTTTATTTTAGAGGGAGAGGAAGTGAGAGAGAGAAACATCAATGTGAGAGAGAAACATTGATCAGTTGCCTGCCATATGTGCCACAACCTAGATATGTACCGACTGGCAATTGAACCCACAACCTTTTGGTGTATGTGATGACATTCCAACTGACCAAACCACCCATCCAGGGCCAGAGGAGATATTTTGACAAGGCTATAGGCAGAGGATTTCAACCCCGGACCCACTTTGCGAGGTTCTTCCTACTGGGTAGGTCCTTTTTGAAATCTAGAGTAGAAAGAGCTTTTAGTATAGAAGAGATCAATAGGGAATAGAGGGTGGATGAGAGGCAGAAAGTCAGAGATTGTGGAGTCATCTTCAGTCATCTTCCACCCCGCTCCCTGTCTTGTTTTCCAACTTATATAAGAGCAGGAAGAAGAGTGGGGATCAGGTACCAAGCCCTCTGCACTCAGTGTCCACCGGCCCCTTGGTGCCTGGCTCACATACTGAACACTTGAGAATAAGTTTAAATTTTGCTATTAAAATGGCCTAGGACAAATCACTTCCCCTCTCTGGGCTACAGTTTCCTCACCTCTGAAATGACTAGATGACCTCTGAAGTCTGTTCCAGTACCAACAGTGTCCCAGAGGCTTTCTGCTTTGTCTCCCTACAGTACCTCTGTTGGCAGGCATTAGGGTCATGGGAGGGCAGGTGGGGAGATGGAGCAGCAGGGATTTAGGGAAGTAAGGTCAAGTGTTAGGGCTGAAGAATATCACTCACAGTAACACCACTGGTCGCTGGATCCTTGCCCTCCATGAGTTTATAAATGTTCTCCAGGGCTTCATCTGGGTTCTGTGCCTTGAACCGCTTCTTGCCCAGTTCCTTCATTGCTTCCTGGAACTGTTGAAATGATACAGTTCGGGCATTCTTGGCCCTGGTCAATAAGAAAGAAATCCAGGAACTCTGGAACATGAACTTATCACCTGCCAAGGTCCAACCCTCCCATTATCCAGACTTGGCCACTGAGTGTCTTGAGGACAGAGAATAAATTGACAGTGCCAGGTACCCGGTGGTGTTCAGTAGACCCATTACAAATATTCTGTCACATAAACCCTTCCATGTCTCATCATCTTCTTTGTTCTACTCCTATCTTTGGTCCCTTACTTGACTTTGCTGAACACGATGTCCACATCAGTGGAGGTGACCGTCTTGCCATCCATGATGCCACAGTCTTTGCACAGCTTGGAAAAGTTTTTGTTGTTTATTTCAGTGCCAGTGCTTGATGATTCTCCAAAGACAGCAAACCGACGGAATGTTTTTTCTGCTTCTGATGCCATGGTCACCTGGAGGTGGGGGAGAAAATGGGGGGTGAGGGAGGAGGGGAAGGAAGGACAGAGGAGAAAGAAGGATGGAGTTAAGATAAAATCTGAATCAGCAACAGGAATAAATACCCTCCTCCCTGTTCCTCTCTCCCCTCTTCCCACCTACTATTCCTAGCACTAAGGATATTAGTATGGATCCTACTTCTGAGTAGTTACTACCACCATTCACATTTCCATCACTTTTGGTACCTAAGAGTGCCCGGATGATGTCTACCCTTCTGAGCCTTTCTATGTAAGTGTGTACATATGTGGGAGCCAGCTGGCAGGGGAGATTATGTGCTGATGGGGAGACAGGGAAGAGAGGGAAGCTTCTATGACCTCAGTAGTTTTTATATGACATCACCTCCACCCCCAGCTGTAACTCTAGTCTTTGGGGAAGGGTTATTTTGTTTCCCTACCTTGCATGTTGCATTGAACAAGTTGCCAAACTTCTGATTTCTCCAGATGATCAAACATCTCTCATCATTCCAGCCCAGCTTGACCCAGTCCTCTGGGTCCTGGTCAATCACTCTATGCTCTGCCCCTCAACAAAGGCTGAAGAGAGCCCAAGGAAGAGGTTAATAAAAACAGGTTGGTGTCAGTCCAATATTAACTCATTCTTCTAGTCTCCAGGCCCAAGCCAACATGGAGAATTTCATTGGCTTTAGCAGACTAACTTCAATAAGAACTTTAAATGGTGTCCTTGTTGGACTCAACATGGAAATGGTCTTGGAGTGTAAAGAGATATGGGTGGGCCAGGGTGAAATAGGTCAAGGTGAGGGTGAGTCTCAGACTCTGAAAACCTTTCAGATAAGCTTCTGGGCAGGTCAAGAATGTTCCTCAAGGGTTCCTCTTTGGCCTTTTTCTCTAGCTAGAAAGCATACAGATGGATGAACTTCAGGGATCCTAAAGTAGAGCAGCTAGGTTGGTGACTTCTTTCCCTTCCTGTCTAATCAGTCACCAATTCCTATATGTGTTTTTTCCTTGTCTTACATATCCATTCCTTTCTTTCCATTCCTATTACTCCCACACTTCTTGAAGTCCTTATCATTTCATATCTAGTTGATTACCCTGGCTTCTAAATGATCACTTTCTTAAATTGAATCCTTTAACCCTACCCACCCCATAATCCACCTCTATTACCACCCCCCAATCAGATTAACTTTCACAAAACTATTTTTTTATTTTATCTATTACTCCTGCTCAAGAACACTCTATGGATCTTCTGTGCAGACTTTTTTGCTGTTATTCAAGAACATCCACACTCAGCCCCAGTCTATCTTACCAAACATTATCTACCTTTCATTGACATTATTCTTCATCTGAGGCCATAATGGCCCAATCATTATGTGCTTGATGGTGGTACCTCATAGTGGAAAGAGCATAGCTTTGGGATGGAATGAACCTGGGTGGGGATTTGAGTCCTAGGTATATCATTTACTAACTAGTTGGCCTTGGGCATGCCACTAAACATCTTTGAGTTTCAATTTCTTCATATGTTCAGTGAGGACAATAATACCTACTCTATGGTATGAGGGGATAATATATGAGAAGTACTTTGCACAAAGTAGCTATTATTCTATTCTTCAAAATAATTTGTGTATTTCTCCCCTCAAACTTTCCCTCATGCTCTTTCTTCATGGATAGAATGTCCCTCTCTCCTATGCAAATACTCCATGGTTGTACCCCTCATAGGGTGCTTTACCCTAGGAACCAAACCCTTTTCTTCCTCTGGATTATACCAACATGATGTTTCCTAACCTGGTGGGCTGCAACCTTTTGGGGCAAGGATTTCTGAATTATTGCAAGGGCTCCTGGAATCTATATGTACACAGAAGATTTATTGTCAACTGAATAAATATTATGCTTTGCACATGTAGGTATTACTATATACAAGATGTGATTATCAGAACATTGTCCAAACTTACTTGAAAGTATTGCTGAATTCATGGTTTGTTTCCATCAGGGGATACTACAACCATCATGTGGGAATGGAAATTTCTGATCTCCTGCTTGAGAAGGGTGAGAAACTACTGCCATAGGACTTATTCTTTAAATAATTAATCATATATATATATATATATTTTAAACTTTTTCTATTTTTATACCTTCTCTCAACTATTCCATTACAAGCTTCTAGGGAGGGTATGACTAAACTTCACACTTCTTTGAATTCCATCCATACAATGGCTTGCACATAGTAGGTATTTAAAACTGTCACTTAGTTGAAGGTAGTTTGAGGCTGCTTCTGGCCCAAGAGAAGGAAGTTAGAGCTGTAATCCTTGTTGGGCCACTTACACCAGGGCTGGGCTGGGCTGGAACCTGCCCTGTCAGAGAGGAACCCTATTTCAGGGCAGAAGCAGCCTCATTTCTGTATGCAGTAGGCTGAGACCCCTAGGCATAGGAAGTAAATAGATCCCAGTGGAAATTTCCCACCTCTTGCCTGCCCCTCACCCCTGCTTAGGCCCCTTATCAGGTTCCCCCTGAGTCATTCTGACCCAGAGACTAATTTAGATGCTGGAACCTCCAGGTCCTTCCCTCCCCCACTCCAAGTAAGACTACTTTAGACACAAAAGAGAAGGCAGCAAGCAAAAGTTCTCATTCTAGACTTTCTTGCTCCTCCACTTCCAGGAGGGCTGGTGAGATCTCTCTCCTGTCCTATGCATCTTTGTGTATGATCCCAATTCCAGCAGGCTTTCCTTGTCCAGGAGAGTGTTAAACTGGCATCTAGAGGGGAGAGGGGACTAGGGAGGAGCCAGGGTGCCCAGATGCTGTGCCAGTTTGTGAGAAAATAGTTCTGAAGTGTGTCGGGGGAAGGGAATAGAGGAAAACCTGGGTGCTTCAACTAGGGAACGTACGGGGTTCCTTAGATTTGGGGTTGTTGAAAGCTGGGTTTTATTCTGACCAGTTCTACTTTGGGTCACCTCCTCCCTCTTGGCCCCTCCTTTTTTCCAATAGACCCTGCCAAGTGGGGATGAAAGGGGCATTGATGTTCCTTGGATGGGAGGGGGGTTGTGTGGGTGGTGAGGGGTTGTGGGGGGTGGTTCCCAGGCAGGGGGAGGTAGGGCAATTTGGGGGTCTTGTGGGGGCAGTCTGTGCTGCTGTTGCAGTTGGCAGCTTCAGTTCCATTGGCTATTGTTCCCAACTGGCCTGGCGCCCAGCCCCCGAAATGGCAGCTCAGGAACCTGGCTAAAGGAGAGGATGGGTTGGAGACCCTGGGAGGAGGGGAACTAAAAGGGGTGCAGGTGGGAAGAAATTCAATCAGGTTTCCTTTTGCCTAAGATAACTTCGAATTCCCTTAGCCACATAACTATCCCATTCCAGGTGGCCTTCCACTTGGGGGGACAGGGAGGGTGCATCTAGGTGTGGGGAGGGTAGTCGAGTGAGGAGTCTAGGACAGCAAAGCCACCCAAGCCCTGAGAGAGACTCAGCAGTCCCTGAGAAACCGTCGCCTGGGCTTCGCGATTCGGCAGGGCCCAGCTGGCCTCACCCTTCCTCTCTAGGACCGACTAGGAGGGGTTAGAGCTGAAGCCACAGGGTCTCTTGGGTCCCAGCCCGGGACACTGCGTCCTCCCAAGCCCCCACTCCACCCCCGGGAGTTAACTCCGCCCCCGCGCCTGTTTACCCAAGAGTCTAAGCTCCTGGGGGTCCCTGGCCCCTCCTCTGCCCCCTTTGGGGCCTTGACCCGGGAGTCCCCGTTGGGCCATCCTCTTCCCCCCCCTCCTGCGATCGCCTTCTATTTATAGCGGCCCCCCGCATTCCCCACCCCCTCCCCGTCTTGTTTTCCAACTTCTCAGGGAGCAGCGGGACAGCAGGCATCGGACGCGCAGCAGAGAGAAAAGGTACCAGGACCTTGGGCGCCCCGGAGTTGGCATTCCCGCGCCCTAGCCGCCCCCCACCCGCAGTCGTTGCCGGCACACCTGCCCCTCCCAGCGGGCGAGACCCTCGCCTCTTCACGGGCGGTCCCCGCCCATCTCCTGCTTCCTCAACTAGGCTCTGTGTTTACGGGCGGGCGGAGTCCAAATCGTGGGGTGTCAGCACCCTGGGTTCGCACCCCACACCAGTCCCCACCACTGAGTCTGGGGGCGAACGACAGAGCCACAGTGCGATAGGCAGATCCAGGTCACGGGGGTTGAGGGCTGACGTGGGGATTCCCCGCAGGACTAAGGAATCCCCGCACACCCCACAACCGCCCAGTTGCGGGAGGCTGTTGTGCAGAGCACGAGCTTAGCCCGGAAACACCCCCAGTTTGCTCTTCTTAGAGTTCCCCTCAGGCCCCCGCACTGCCTCTCCTGAGCCGCAAACAGCCTGGGGCGGGGTAAGGGGGGCGTGTTTACTGGGGGTCTGGGGGCGGATCTGCGGGGAGCTGTGGGCCCGTGGGCAGGCTGGGGCGGGCCAGGGGCGGGTCTGCGGGGAGCTGGAGCCCGGGCAGGCTGGAGCGTCAAAGGCAAGTGAAGGTGGAAGCGGCCGCGGCTGCAGCAGGTAGGGGGAAGGGCAGGCGGGGGCCACAGGGCCTGGCTGGCGCCTGCGGGCGGGCGGGCGGCTCGCTCTCCGTCCCTGGGAGCCGGCCGTTTGCGGGAAGGGGCCCTCGGGAGGCGGTGCCGGGCTGCTGCGCACAAAGGCGGAGGCTCGGCGAGCGGCAGGGCGTGTTTGGGACGTGAGCGAGGTTGCGTCCAGGGTCCGGGGCGCCCGCCGCCCGCCGCCCGAGGGTGTCCGTCCCCACGAGGGCGGGCAGCGGGGGGACTCGGAGGGACAGGTCCCGGGTGCTGGGCCCGGTCCGTCCCATCCCTACTATCCATCCTCCCAGCTGGCGCTCGGCCCTTTCGGGTCGTCCGTCGGGGGAGGCTGGAAGGAGATTGTGCGACCGCCCTCCTCGCCTTTCTCCACTCGCGGCACCCACAGCGAGACTGGATGGAGGAGAGAAACGAAGACACGAGGCGTTTGAAGTTCTCCTTTTAAATGGCGGAGGGAAACAG